TTATCTTCTGCTGTTCCTTCTCTCTCCTCCTGTTCCTTCTTCGCCACAGTTCAGTGGAGTATGTCAGCCCCCTCTCAACACAAAGCCTGACCACTCTAGTGTGAGATAAAGCTGATGTCTTCATTCTGCCTCCTCCCCAGCTCACTCTGCAAGTCACATCACAGTACAGCTCAGACAGACATTCCTCCGATGAGAAGACGTACAGTTTTCCACATGTGTACACACAATATATGCACAGCAGTTGGCGTGACAGACGGATGCAGTAGAAAGCTGTTAGCTTCCAGGTGAAGCATTAGCATAACAACACACCACGACCACCACCCCATTCAGAGAGGCAGAATTCAGACTTTATTTATCTCTGTTCATTTTATGCCCGATCCTGTTACTGACAAGTGTGACGATATACAAGAGAGACATGTTACACAGCCAGGGCTGCAACTACTGTGGCGAAGAAGAAACGGAAGATAAAACCTTGTCTGTTCTTTTGAATAGTAACATTTTTCATTTCACACCAAGCACAGTTTATTTGAATCGGCCCTGCTTTTATCTTTTGTTCTACCAGTGACAAGGGAGGTGCTGTTCAAATCATCCACTGACAACAGTTTTATCAAGTTTCTGTGCAGAGTAGATTACTTTATCAGCATTTTTGTTTAAATTGGAGCTCACATTGTGCCTGCAGTAGCCACACATACATTTTTTTATTTTAGACAACCAAATCTGTCATATTTAGGGCTGTTTTGGACCTCTGAATTTGGTAAAGCTTTCACTATTTCAGTTAGGCCTGAAAAAGATGGAATTCAATTAAGTCTGAGCGCAGCAACTTGTTCTGTTTGGTGCTGTTTGTTTTGGCTGTACAGTGGGGCACAAGGACACAGTGTTAACTTGTCAAGTGAGTACATGTAGGAGGAGATGTATGAAAGTCTGTGTGAGAATGTCAGAACTGGATGAGCATGTTTGCAGGTAAATCTGGGTCTTGTAGTTTTAATAACACACGTTGACCCATGAATAGAAACTCCCAGGAAAACAAACCAAAATAATCTGAGCTATACTTCCATGGGAGGTGAAGAAAAAATGGATGATTTGATTAAAAAAACTAAACAAAACCCTTTTTCTGCAGATATTAATATAATAATATCCACCCATCCATTTTCTTCCTCTTGTTCAGTTCAGACTTGTGGAGAGGCGGAGCCAATCTAAGCTACCGTAGGATGTGAGAGACAGCCTGGACAGAGCTCTGCCAGTCTGTCGTAGGGCTAACACAGAGAGACAGTATTACACTGATTGCTTTTCATCAGGGAAAAATTTCCCACCATCACTTCGCAGACTTTAATTTGCTGTCGTTGTCCCATCTGTCCACTCGTGCCATTAATCTGAGTGTTCGCTTGTGTGTGTTTTCATTGCAGAATTTCTGCAGCCGCGCTGCTCTGGAAGCTCTTGGCTCCTGTCTTAACAACAAATACTCTGAAGGCTACCCAGGAAAAAGGTAGGTTTTTATTCAGCTACACCTCTGTTTATTAACATGATTGATATTATTTTCAGTTAATGAATTTTCTGTTATTGCCTTCAGATAAGTAATGACTGCAAATGATAGTGCTGAACTTAAAGGGTTTGCTTATACCAATGAGTCTACGCTATGGAGGAAATATTTTACCATAATGTACACCTAGTACATAATGTAGTGTTGATTTTTTTCCCCCCCAATTTGTTCTACCTGCTCAATCTCAAGCAACAGACAAATACAGCAAGTAGCTGGAGATTGTTGTCGGGTGTATAAGCAGTTTTCATCGGGAGCTGACTGTAACAAAAACACATAAGACTGAACGCTGGATTTACATCAGAGTTGAATGATATTTGTTTGCTGGGAATGCACATAAACAACAGTTCGCCACATTGGCCTAAAAGGAACTATTGTGCGTTGTGGCCAAACAATTAATCACTGTAGGTTTAAATTCTAACAAAAAGCTGAAATTAGCAGGTTATTCACAGTAGTTCATGTTTCCATCTCCACCCTCAGGTATTATGGTGGAGCAGAAGTGGTTGACCAAATTGAGCTGCTCTGTCAGAAGCGAGCTCTGGAGGCCTTTGACCTGGATCCAGCTCAGTGGGGCGTCAACGTCCAACCGTACTCTGGCTCTCCTGCCAACTTTGCCAGTTACACCGCTGTACTCAATCCCCACGATCGTATCATGGGCCTGGACCTGCCTGATGGTGGACAGTTAGTATTCACTGTTGCTGTATTTTTGCTGTACCCCCCCCACCCCTCCTTTTTTTTAAAAATTCATAAATCTGATTTTTCTGTTTTATTCTTTATGTATATATTGTTTGTTTGTTTGTTTGTTTGTTTTACTCCAGTCTGACTCACGGCTACATGTCTGATGTGAAAAGAATCTCTGCAACCTCAATCTACTTTGAGTCAATGCCTTACAAGCTAAATGTAAGTAGAAAAGCTTTCTACTGATATCTACTGACACCCGTTTATACCAGTGTCGAATGATTAGCTGGGATATACTGATGTATTTTTTTTATGTTTTATCAATGTCAGTGTGAGAAGTCTTCCAAAAGTCAATAAGCCAGCAAATACTAAGAAAGTCCAGTTTTCAGTATGTTACAGTAAGATGTTTATAACGGGGTCAGTGCTGTCCTTGCAAACTGTATTTTCTGAAACGTAATCATTGACCGGCCAAGGCCATTTCCTCTATCTGCCTTCTTTACTGCAGACTGCAACAGGACTTATAGACTACGACCAGATGGAGATGACGGCCAAGCTGTTCCGGCCCAAGCTCATCATCGCTGGCACCAGTGCCTATGCCCGGCTCATTGACTATGCCTGCATCAAGAAGGTGCACAGAGAACTCTCTGCATTCTCAGTTCACCCCGTGTTCACCCCGTCTTTTTCTGTTCTGTTGTGTGCTTCACTTTTCTTCATCTTGTTATCCTGTATCAAAAGGATGGATCAGCTTTGTGTTTGTATTTAAAACTTAATCAGCTTTTTTGAGGTGACAGCTTGGTCCTCTGTCACCTTAAAATAGAGGACAAATGTATAAGAAGGGCCAAAAACCATCTGAATCTAATGCAGATGGAAAAGAGAATGTATTTTCACCTCACCTTTTAGGGCTAATTAAACGCTTTTGTAAACCACAGAACAATGGAACTTTCCTGCCACATGTGTATACATGTTGGTCTTAATTTTATAACTGTTTCCTCATCCTGCCTCTTTTTCTTCCAGCTGTGCACCAACATCAATGCCTACCTGCTTGCTGACATGGCTCATATTAGTGGCCTGGTGGCAGCCAAAGCCATCCCCTCACCCTTTGAACATGCTGACCTGGTCACCTCCACCACGCACAAGTCCCTCCGTGGAGCAAGGTAAGGTCAAACTGTAAGAGACACGGGTGGGAACAAAAATCAAATTACTGAGTAAAAATTGTAAAATTGCTTCATCAGTAAAAGATTCTGTTCTGTCCAGGGCTGGTCTCATCTTCTATCGGAAGGGTGTTCGCTCAGTTGACAAAAAGGGAAAGGAAATCATGTACGACCTCGAGGACAGGATCAACTTTTCTGTCTTCCCCTCCCTGCAGGGTGGACCTCATAACCATGCCATTGCAGGTGTAGCAGTGGCACTCAGACAGGTCTGCACAACACACAAATACCGAACTGCAAACTTGGATCTGTTGGTGTTTTGTTTTCAAGACTTAAAGCTGAGGAGCTTAAGAACATGTTGCATAAACTTCAGTCAGTAAAGGGAATAGTGCAGGGGTAGACAACTCAGGCCTCGAGGGCCGGTGTCCTGCAGGTTTTAGATGTGTCCTTGATCCAACACAGCTGATTCAAATGGCCAAATTTCCTCCTCAACATGTCCTGAAGTTCTCCAGAGGCCTGGTAATGAATTAATCATATCATTCAGGTGTGTTGACTCAGGGTGAGATCTAAAACCTGCAGGACATCGGCCATCGAGGCCTGGAGTTGTCTACCCCTGGAGTAGGGTATTACAGAGCCAAATGTAAAGGCTAACTTACTGTACACTTTTGGTTCTGTGTGTCCAGGCACAGTCTCCCCTGTTTAAGGAGTATATTGACCAGGTGCTAAAGAATGCCAAGGCTATGGCTGCAGCTCTTCTCAGCAAAGGCTACACTCTGGTATCAGGTAATCTAGCGTGCACTTCTTTACTCAGCACGGAGCATTTAACACTGAAAATTCATCTAAAATGTCCTGTAACAAAATGTAAATTACACAACAAGAAAAAAAGCACAAATCCAAAAATGATTTTTGTTTGTTTTGATGTATAGCCTTCAGTTTATATACTCTGCTCACTCTGCAGTGTGTACATACACCTTTCTTTAATCCCTTAGTAAATATTTTTAGCCAAATAACTGGTAAGAGTGGAAGATCGTACCAGTAAAACACATTCCTAGCGTATTTTTTCCCTTAATCTCGTGTAATGTACGGGTGACTTATTTTCCTCCTATTTATTGAAAACTGGATGTTCCAGGTGGGACCGACAACCACCTGGTCCTCGTGGACCTGCGACCTAAGGGTATTGATGGTGCTCGAGCTGAGAGGGTGCTCGAGCTTGCGTCAATCACCGCCAATAAGAATACCTGCCCCGGAGACAAGAGCGCCCTGACGCCTGGTGGCCTCAGACTTGGTGAGAAACGGCTTCACATCACACTGTGTTTGCTGGACACACACCAGGAGGTGGTCATACTTATTAAGGATTAGAAACCACGTGCTTCCCTGTATATTCATTTGAAATCTTAATTTAAATCTCCCCCATCTCAAGTCAAGTGGCTTTATCGTCATTCCAACCATGTGCAGTGGTACAGTACACAGTGAAACGAGACAACGTTCCTCCAAGGCCATGGCGCTGCATATGACATATAACAGACAATCAACACAGGACTACATAAAGTGCAATGTGCAAAGACAGTGCAACACCAGACAGAACAGAACGATACAGACACAACAGTGCAATGAAATTTCTTGATCCGATGTGGTGATCGGTTGTAGTTTTGACACATCTCAAGCCCGTATAGGTTATTTACTGACCTTTTAAGAAGCTCCCACTCTATGCTATTTTTTTT